GAGAGCTGTTAGGCAGGATTTAGGAGCTTTTAGGATTGCTGAAGCTTTTAGGCTGGACTGGGGGGCTTTTAGGCTGGACTTTTAGGCCTGGGAGAGCTGTTAGGCAGGATTTAGGAGCTTTTAGGATTGCTGAAGCTTTTAGGCTGGACTGGGGGGCTTTTAGGCCTGGGAGTGGCTCTTAGGCCGGACTAAGCAATGGCCAAGCTCTTGCTGCCCTGCACAGGGAGGGAAAGCTCCTGGTCCTACTGGTTAGGACTGGGATGGGCTTGGCTTTCCCCCCCTCTGGGCCGTACTGGGAGCACTGGGAAGGTTCCACCGTTCCCAAGCCTGTGGATCTCGGCAGCCCTCGGCATTCCCCGGTTTTCCTTTCCCTGTTTTTCTGCTCGTTGAGTTCATTAAACCTGGTTGTTTTTCCCCTCAATCCAGGAGTTTTCCTGCTTTTTTCTCCTCCCTTTCCCTGCTGGGTTTGGCTGGGACGGGGTTAAATCCTTGGGATCAGCTCCTGGTTCGGCTCCGGGCTGGGAAGGGGGTGAGAACAGGGAGTTGTTTGGGAATTTTATCGCCCTCCAAGGCCTTTTCCTCCTCCTCACATTCCAAAGGGGGGGTCACCCGCTGTTTGCAGGGGCTCAAGGAGGGTCCTCCCACATCCCAGGGAATGAGCAGCCCTCGGAAATGGTGGAAAAGGAGGGAGGGGCCGCTTTGAATCCCAATTCCAGGTGCTCTCCCGTGGTATTCCGGGGGTTGTGGATCCACCTCCTTCTCCATCTCTTCCCGGTGAAGGCCCTGCTGCTTAAAAACTGGGAATGGTTTAGGTTGGAAAAGACCCTGAAAGGGCATCAAATCCCACCCCTAAACCCCGAGGGAGTTCCCCAGTTCCAGGGAATCCCGAGCTCTGTTCCACGGGCCGCTAAATCCCGGGAGCAAGTCAGGAATCCGGGATCACCCCGAGACTTGGATCCCTCTGGATCAGCTCCTGCGGCCAGGAATCCTCAGGGAAGGGCTGAGGGACGAGGGGGAGGAAGAGTTCAGCTGGCAGCTTGTGACACCCCCCCAAAAAAAATCATGGAATGCCGTGGAATATCCCGTGGGATGAGGTGATGAAGGACACAACTGCACGGGCATCCCTGGGGGGGCTAAAAAATTCCCGGGATAAAGGGAATGTCTTCATTCCCTCGGTTGGGAGGGACCCCCAAATGTCCCCGATCCCTCGGGATCCCCATCCCGTGTTTCTGAGGTGGGATCACCCTCCGGACCAGGAGCTGGGAGTGGGACCAGCACTGGGGGGCCCAGGCAGGGCCCCAGATCCAGGGGCCATTCCCAGGATCCCTGATCCAAAGGCCAGATTCCCTGCACTGGATCAGGGATCAGACCCATTTCCCTGGGTCCATGCCCCGAATCCAGGGATCAGAGATCTGGTCCCTGGATCTGGGGCAGGGATAGGGGGAAATGTGTCTGGGATCTGATCACTGGATTTGGGATCTGATCCCTGGATTCGGGGCATGGACCCAGGGAAATGGGTCTGATCCCTGATCCAGTGCAGGGAATCTGGCCTTTGGATCAGGGATCCCGGGAATGGCCCCTGGATCTGGGGCAGGGATA